GCATGGCAGTTGAGCAACGTGACGTCGTTGAGTTACATAATGCTCCACTCGAACGCTTAATCGCAACACAATGTTGCCGACTGGCTGTTGTCTCTTTCTGTCTCTAACGCTCTCTACGCATACTGATAAAATAGGCGCACGTGACGAATACATAATTTCACTACAAATGTCCGTGCATCGTACATTTTCATTAGCAAAAAGGATTTCCAAATTAGAATCTCACTACATTACGCAGATTGCTCATTCATAGTTTCATTGATTGAATATCAACTAAAGTTTCCCTTATCCAATCGCGTAAAAAAAAATTAAATTAAAATTTCCAGTACTTCTATTTGTTATTCATTTCTTAGTAACACTTTCATCAATTACAACACAATTCGCTAAATTAAACATCGCTTTAATTAAATAATCATATTCAAAATGTTTCTAGCCGTGTAAAAATTGACTGCCAGAAGTTTAGGCATCTACTGTACAACGCGTGCTATTGAAGATAGAAGACAAATGGTAAGATAGGTCGAACATAATTTACCTGTCCGCAACCGTCCGTTCTTTCAAAAGAATTGCATATAGACGCCAAGCGAAAACTTCTTAATTTTAAAGTCCTTTTGGTTACCTACTACTTGACTTTAATGTATGTTGTCTTCAGTTTGGGTTTTCGACATAAATCTTAATAAAATAATGTGTTGAAAAAAACATTGTGTGTTATTTTCTTCTTGTAAACATTTTTCTTAATATCAATCTCTAAAAATAAATCATGAAATCTTCACATAATAAATTTAATCATTGTTTATTATAATTGTTTATAATAGCATAAAGAATAGCAAACTGTTTATATGATTTAAATGATTAATAATTTCTAAGAATAATAAGCTGCAAATGTAAATCCAATAATTCATACTTCTTGATAAAAATTAATTGTCGCAATAAATAACACAATAAATACACAATATTTCTATGTAATGTTTAAATAGATTTAAAAATATATGGATTTAAAAATAATAATAAATATGTATAACAATTTATAAATAAGAAAATTAGCACATATACAAAAATAGCATAAAAATAAAAAATTTTGATATCAATTTCGCCGTTACGTAGGCAGATGTAATCTTTTAAGATTCGTTAAATTGCATTGGTAAGATTGCTGGCGACAGACAAGGATGTTCCCCCCAATGATGGGGATAGTAGTGAAGGCATTGTGGTCAGGTCGTAGCCAGAGTGGCAGGTGCTGTCCGTAATGGCTGCCCATCGAGGCAGACGGGAAGAACGGTGGGCAAGTTTGTCGGTACAAAAAGTGTTGTGTGAGTTATGGACGTGGAAGACTATTTGGCAGTATCAACGGACTCGATTACGTCGTTGCGTATTAATTAAATATTGACGCGTCGAGTCTGCTTCGCAGATACGTTGATACGTGAGGCGAAAGAAGAATCAAGGAAGAAACGCAGGTGAAACGTGTTCCGAAAATATTTCTCATGCGGTTGTCAGTGTGGTGACTTGATTTCAACGCGTATCTTATAAATCGAAGGACCGTATCAGTGATTCTTCGATAGTAATGCGACGATAATGTGAAAAGTAAATTATTACGTCAATTAAGAAGAATTGTGCTTTTTTATACCTTTTTAGTTGGCAAAAAAAAAACATCTTTACTAATGGAATTATATAAAATTAATCAAGTGCATATTTTGCTAATAAACTAACATAAATTTTCAATTAATGTATAATTTAAAACTATATTAATATTTCATTTATAAATGAACGCTAATATTCGTGATTTAGCAAAATTATAGCGAAATAAAATTTGTTACATAAATTTTGATATTTCTAACAACATTTGAATACCAAGGAAGCTTGTAACAGTTTTATCGACTATAATCGACCGGTAAGAACCGTGAAAAACGTACGCAAGAACGCTTTTGAATCAATTATTTTGCCATGTATCCATCTTTCCTCGCGGCTATGGCTAGATGTGGCCTTTGTCTGGCGGTATAGTCGTTCCGATCGCCGAGCAACTAAACACGTTCTTCATACCTTCAAAGCATTGATCCAAAGGATATACCAAGTATATATTATTTCAGCCCGAAACGACATATCAATATATGTATACACATATTTACAATTTTAGTCTATATATAGACATCTCGTCAATGCTACATTTCTAGTTAAATTCATCATTTAATAGTTAAATATAAAATTGAACAATTTTAAAAGGAAATATTTTTAATTTTAAATGTTTGAAAAAGAACATGATAAAAATATAAAAAACATGTAGATGTAAGCATGTAATAAACTTTAAAATAAATGTTTGCTGTACATTAAATTCTAAAGAGAAATATAAGACTTAATGGACAAAGCTAGATGACTCATGCACGGAAAGAACGATTTTGTTGAAAGACCTAAAAATTTTGCTAAAAACAGATCTGAAAATAATTTTTTATTGAATCATCAAAATAATTTGTTGGAATGTTAAAACTGATAAGTATTGCTGTAAAACGTTTTGATATTCTAGCAATCGTTTTGACTTTCGCACAAAATAATTTTGATTATTGAACAAAAATTATTTTCAGATCTGGATTCAGCAAAATTGTTCTTTCCGTGTGTGTAACGGATTCCTGTGACAATGACCATGTCAGAAATCACGTATGTTAGCAGCTTTGGTTAATTAATTGATCGAAAGAGACACTGATGACGATATACGAGGATTAATACTGACTGCTAACAATAATTTCTATGGCATGAAATTTGCAAAACGGTGAGGTAGCGTACGGTTGTTGTCAGGGTATATAAAGTCAGGCTAGCGCACGAGCCTGTACATGCGAACAGCTCGTCCATCAAATTGAGAACCCTGGCAGCCGCTATACTGGCGGCGCGATGTACCGATCAGCGCCTCAACGCCTCGGCGCTCCACGCGCGTTACGCTTATATGATCACATATATACCATTTTTTCATTCTCATCATAATTCGCAGACGCAAGAAATTCGCATGTATAATTGAAAGGATTACAATTAACAGGATGTGTCTCGACAGTTACGTTTTTTCGCACAATATCTCTCAATAAGTGAGTTAAATATAACAAATGTAACAAAATAAAAAGTTATACAACGCATCGTGAGAAGAGAATAAACAGAAGATTCCTCTTTCCAAAGAATAACATATTCGCTCGAGATTTTCTTGATGTCTGAACTGCTTAAATTCTCGAATCCACAGACATTGAGAATCGATCAAACAGTTCCGTTCGAAACTGTACGGTTCATCTGAACTTGAAGTTTGTATGCTTCTACTTCAAATTGGCCGATTACACAGTTTGTTCGAATCTTTCGTCTGTGTGGGCTCTGTTGTATGCATGTTACACATAATTATTTTATTACCAAAAGCGAAACTTAAATATAATAACAATAACAAGCTTACTGAACTTCTTCGAGAAGCACCATGCGGGTCAAAATTACTAGTTACGAGAGGAAGAAGCAAGACGTGAGACAGGACGCGGGCGATACGATCGATCAAAGATTATACCTTAAGTCGAACGTTATACACAGCGCGAATAGCGTGATTGGACGCAAGGCGATGCTTAAATTAAAATACGAAAGGTCCGCGAGATGCACGTATATGTGTACCTGTAGGCACACATCTCGGCTAATGGCGCCGAGGTTGGACTTCGAACTAGTCTACCTTGCAGAGTACAACAGTAATTTCTCGATTGGTCGGCTCGCGATGGTATTACGCTGAAATGATTATGAAAATTGTGTTCTTACTAATCCCTCGTCACGCCGCTCGTGACGCTTCGCTTTTCATTTTGCGCTTCCGCTTAATCATACATGATTTCTTACTAATGCCGCTAGTCTTGCAAAGCAGAATCTAGCAAAAACGAAAGAAACCTCGAGGAATCGTATATGATCAAGCATTATTACGAGTTTAGCACGCACTGTGTTAACAGATGGATAACAGAACAAATATCCATTTAAAACAACGATATGAATTTTTTTTTTAAATAAAATCAATTATTACCAGGAAAAAGCGCGAACTTTATTATGTGACCAGATACTTGAAACATATATTTGTATCTCTTACTCCGTTATCTCCGTTAATTTTCATAATTCGTTAATTAATTTCCTGAATTCTCAGCGGTAAAAATTGTGTATAGCAGTGGAATATATTCAGTACATAATTCATAAAAGAATAAGTAGGAATATATTGTAATACAGAAGATTTGAAACAACCATGAAATAACATATCCAATGTGTGTCTATTTTTACATTTCCATTTTCGGGACATTCAGGGTTATTGAACATCCGGCACATGACGTATAATAAATACAGAAATAAATATCTTCTGCCTTATAATCTTACTTTCCCTCGTTGAGAGGCGCATATTGTAACTAAAGAGCGCGCATTTTTTTAGAAGGCCCCAATGTTTTTCGATTGAACAGTACGAGCGGCGGGCGTGGAGAAGGGAAAAAAGGGCGTAGTAAGTCATACGGAGAGGCTCGTACGTCATACTTCATCCGGGCCAACGGAGCAACACATAGAAAGGGTTCTCCCCATATACAAGGAACGCACTCACTTGGGCTGTCTCTTTAGGTCGCACTGCCATTGTGTGAGTGCCTATGTTACGTGTGCCTGAATTTTCGTACACCTTTATACATGGAAGAGACCCGGAACGCTTGATCACCTGTGTGCAACGTGCACGCCTACACTCGATGCATATACGTCACATAATCCTTTAATAATAACGCAAAAATTAATTTTAAAATACCCGTTGATATACAGAGGCAAACGTTTAACGGATAAATACCTAACCATTTTTATCATATATTTCTTTTCATCATATACTTAATATTTTCAATTTCATGGAATATATAAAAATAATATAAAATAAAATATTTTGACGATAATAAATGTAATATCCTTCATCACCAATTACAAAAATATAAATAAATATATAAAAATTTATAAATTTATTTGTATTTTTAATCAATAGACTTGTTTTTATTTTATAGATAATAATGATGCTAATAAGTTGCGCGAACAGCCGAAGAAAAGTCTGAATTTGTGTAAAGCAAGATTGGAGTGTTTCTGTTCCGTAAAAAAGAAATCTTACAACTCATGAAGATCAGAGCTGATCTTCACCGATACGAGAGCAGAGCGCTGTATTACCGGCAAACCTCGTAAACGACCATAGCAGCAAGTGGGGAGTTCTCGAGGAGGAGGGATAAACGAGCCGAGCCACGATTTCGTTGTCGTAAACGTCAAAGTTACGGTTACAGCGTTGTTCCTAGCTGCTTTATATTGAACGAGGTTGCTCCCCGAGGTACGTAACACCTACCTACTCGCAACCGTCGTATTGCAGAAAGTAGCACTATGCTCCTTTCCAACTCGGGAGCGACGCGGGCACCACGTGGCTTTTACGCGGGAATCCGGCAGAGGAATTCAAGGTCCGTTGAATATCATCTTTTAGCCGTGTCACGTGCTAATATTAATTTTGTTTATAATTTACATGATTGCAAATGTATTGTGCTTATCCGAATATATTAATATGGATCAATTATTATCTTGATTCTTTTACATAAAGATCGCTGAAACATTCGTCATTGTAAAAATTACATTATACATAATTTTTTTAAGCAACATTTATTAAAATGTATCGGAAAAACAGAATGCATTTGAAAACGGAAGCTATATTAATGATGCACGTCTATCCGGCATATTTATCTTGATTAATACTCCTGTATTCAAGTTATCGTTCCTTAATGTAGCTTTAAATAGGATCCTTTTTTTAGATTTACACCATAAAAGAGGTTCGTTCTCAATAGACTGAAATGAAGAGATGCCTAAATAGCATCCCCAGCCTCTATCGTCGCGCCCTCTAATTACCCTGTAGACGCAGTCACCCCTCAATGAGAAGTGATAAATATTGTTCGCGTTTGAGTATATCCCGAGAAAGTGAATGAGCTCTATAAAGAAAGATATATTTCTCATTACTATTGTAAGTAGATTATTTACTGATAAAATAACATGTTGTTTCTAATTTAAAAATTTGATATTTTTTTACCATTAAGTACAGAATAAATTACTTTCAGTATTAGTACAAATAAAATATTAGAAGAAGAATTTAAAATTTAAAGACGAATGGTATTAACTAAGCTAAGATTGTTTGCTTACATACTGTCTGCAAAAATAGACGAAAACAAATCTAAATTAAAAATCACTTCTATCTTTGATGACATATTTTTATTGCCGATTAAATACTTTTTGCTTAAGTTAATGAATACGTAACCTTTGTACTGTGAACTTTTATCGCCATGTGTATCTGTTATTAAATTAACCGTATTGATACGCGCGTGTAAAGTATATATCACAAGATAGAAGAGGATAAATAAAAGTAGATAGTTGCAACACATTAATTCTCTCGCGCGCGTGCCATAAAACGGTAGCTTCCTAAGCGATTTACGAAATGCACATTAACAGAAAAGAAATAATGACAAAATAAACGTTTGATCGTAGGAAGTAATATTAAAAAAAAAACAGAGTTAAAGAATTATATTCTTTTAATATCGGGTATATATATATTACTAGACTTTTATTTTACGCGCGCCATGTCTACCGCTTTCATATTTATACGAATTGGACATATAATCGATCTCGCAATCGTTTATCATACACTTACGATACACAAAGGTGCAGTTAAAAGCGCGATAAATTAAGCGACAGATGCAGTATTTCACACTAGCGTGCATTCTAGCTATATAATTATCTTTACCGCGATAAGAATTTAAAGAATGAATAGAGAGACAATAGGCATAAATGCATATACATCAATTTTTAGCATTTCATAATAGACGTAGTAAAAGAGTAAGACTTATAATATCTATTATTATTGTGTCATAATATAAGTTACATAAATTTAATTCAAGTACAGTCACATTCTGCATCATACGTTTGAAAGAGATTTTTTCAAAACATTAATTCGAAATTATATGTAGTAAAATGCAACTTTCAATGTCAATATAATGATCATAAATCATATATATATCTCTGCATTTATCATCTAATCTAAATATGATTATTCAAAATATACACGATATCACGGAAGCTACGACATGTAAATTAATTTTCTACAGCTGAGGCTATAAACCGGAATCATTCATCGTATATTCAATGATAGACGATTGCCGATAGATATTGATAGCTCTATATTTAACTGCAAATCTACGACAAATTAATCCATAATCCTGTAGCGATAAATTTTCCTACGCGCTCAATTGTACCAACACTAAAAAGCACTTGCTAGAGTGCGAAATGAGTCAACGACTTTCAATCTGCGAGTGCATAGAACCTGTTATACGGGTATACGGCCGATCAAATGCTTTTTCTCATTCCTACGATTCTTACAAACACTGCGTTCCATGTATCATCGAGGCAATTCGCAAGCCGTAATCAATGATCCGGAACGAATTGATCAAAATATAAAGATGAATGGAAACCAATTCTTTAAATCCTTAAACAGGTGATAAGTAAACAGAATGGCAATTTAAGTAAAATAACTTTGTGTGTACATATATATGTCGCACGTAGACTTTTCATAAAAAATGTACTATAATTTATGATTTATAAACGATTATAATAATCAGAAATTCTAGCTTCTCAATAGAAAATAGTATAGCTTATCAAGCAATACAATACAACTTACACAATAATAATGATAAGATATACATTTGAATATTAAAAATTATTTTTTGGGAAACAATTCGTATTGTAAAGTTTATACATTATAGAATTCATTGAATAATATTTTTATATCGAATAGTGTTTCTTAAAATAATTTTTTCTTTTATATATAAAATATCTCTTGTAGTCGAATATGAAGCAAAAAATAGGTGACCCTTAAATCGGACCGAAAAAAAAGCAGTAAAGAAGATTCCGGTCGAGAAGGAAGAGCTAGAGGCGGTTTCAAGCAAAGAAAAAGAACAGAGATAGCAAATAAAAACTGTTAGCTAGCTAGGGGCCTAGTCTCAGCTGAGCTGGTAAAGGAAAGTCTCACTGAAAGTGCGATATAACCCTTGATTATATATATCTACTAACGGCAAAGCAGAAGGTTATTCGTGAGTATCTCTCTCGCAATGAAAAGGACAAAGACATCGCTAGAAACAGCTGACTGCCGGAATTCGGGGTTCCGGTGGGGTGAGTACAGTGGGGAAGGCACTTGAACCCCCAATTGGACGAGGACTTCCCCATTATACCCAACGTACCCAACGATTTTACACGCACTTGACTCCATTCTACCTATCTAGCAGACATAATTTTGCCAAGGTACACGGCCGATTTTCCACAACATAGCCCGCGCGCGTTGACATTGCACACACGGCAATAAAAAAAACTCGTGGAATTTACATTTAATACGAAAATATATGAAAACGTGGGGTAAGACTAGCAATTTAAAAGTAATTATAAGATTTATTATAACACATTTATTACTGTTATACTCGTTATTACGCTATCAAATGATAATTTTCGCGCTTTTCGCAATTAAGAATTTAGGAAAATTTGCCACTTTAGTAGCGACAATAATAATCTCAATATTACGTAAGAAAAATTTCTAAATATTCTTGTTAATTATTAGTAATATTTTGATATCAACTTTATTCTTTAACAATTTTAATCGCTACCAATTCTTTTGTCCTCGTATTTATTCGAGCAGAAGGCAATGGAATGCTTTTAGTTTGTCAACGATTGTAAATCTGTTATCTCGGGTTTCATGATGGACATGCCGTATTTCAAAACGGCGCGGCAGCGCACAAATAGACCTTTGCGAAAAATTTCATCGCATTCGGCATGGTAGTATGATAAGCTACATTCGACGAATAGAACGTATATCTATATCTTCCGCTTTTTTGTAAACAAAGGAAGAGTGAAATAACTCATCGTGTTCACGCGGACGCAATAGAAAATTTTTCATTCGTTTAGATTTATTCGTGATGTATGTGAAACGTTCTATTCTATAATCTCGTCCCGCACAACTTCTAGGTAATTTGATCGCGTGGAAGCAATTTTAACAATTTAGTCTGGTATAACCAGACGGGCAAGCCTGATCCACCACGCCTTCCCGACCACGTGGTCGTCGCTCCCCACGTTTCCCCTAACCATAGTGGCTCCTATATTTCATCGCGGCTGTTATGATAATAGTCGTATAAGAGAGCATTTATGAATGCAAACTCACCTGCTATAGCCATCCAGGGGTAGAAGGTATGGTTGGAAGGTTGCTGATGCAGTTGCGTGGCGACCGGTTGACTCGCGGACGAGTTTAAACTGCAGGTGTTCCAAGACGACGTAAGGGATCTTGACGAACTGTTGTTACCAGGACTCGATGCTGGATCACCGCCTACGAGGCCACCGTAGCTGCTGACCCTCGTACTCTCTGGGGTACACGCAGAAGGACGTACGACCGAATTACTCTGGCTGTTCGTTCCCGAGGTCGCTGACTGCCAAACGTCCTTGACCGCCGCCGCTGCCATCACCGCAGCATAACCGTTTTGATGTGTCGACGTTTGATCCTGTTGCTTACAGTCTTTCGTTGCTGTTGTTGAATATGAGGACGTAGTGTGACCGGTTGCCTCAGGTGTCGTTGAGTAAAGCTTGCACGCCGTCGCAACGCTCGCATCATATGGCGAATCTTGAGGTGGTCTTGTATTGCTTCCACCGCCTGGATGTATTCCTAATGAGGATGATGTGTGATGATGATGTTGCGCCGAAGCGTAGGGCGACATACCTAATCCGAGTGGAAAGCTTCGATACGCTGCTGCGGTAGCTGGATCATGATGCTGACTTGCCGCTCCCGTTTGATGATGGTGGCTTCCGTAGAAGCCACCCGCGGTCTGCTCAAAGTACGAGTTCATTATCCCGGGTATTTTGGATCACTTACACTAAAACACCGGCACAAAAAAAGCAAAGAAGTCAGAGTTCAAATGGCCCGCAATTACATGGAGTGCACACGGCTAGTCGAATTTCACTAGTCCGTACTCCAATTCCAACGCCAAGTTACACCGATTTAACCGTTTCAAATTAAATAGTAGTAAAACCTCCGATCTTATACTACGTTCCGATATAAAACGCGCTTAAGGAAGCGATATGCTATTTCACGGATGGCGACAGATGATAAGGTTGACGAGGAAGAAATAAACGAGCATTAAACAATTTTAAGAGGTCATAAAAGTCATCGGCAGGTATAGCTGGTTACACCCAGAGTGTCAATGTCAGTAGGCCGTAAGAGTGTAATTCAGAATGGGTTTCATGTCAGCGGCGGGGGCTTTTATGGTCTTGTTATGGTTACCGCTACAGGCAAAGCATACACTGGTGGTCTCGACTATGGAAACAGGCGATGATCGTTAAACCGTTACGATGCAATAAACTTAGGTAATAAGACGGGCTATAAAACGGCTTGGGTTCCTCTACCGCGTGCTCGCCCGACGACAGTTCGGTCAGCCGGCACGCGACAACCACCCTCGCGGGCGGTTCTCTCTTTCTTCCTCTTTTTAAAATAAACTAAATTCGCGTTTGATCAGGTCGAGGCCTCTTGAGGAGCCGATCGATCTGTCACGGAATCAAAAGTGACTCCGCTAGTCCGCACTGCACTAGCACTTGTCGTATTGTGACTTCGCTGATGACTGTGAGGTCCGGTACGAGTCAGAGGACGATGGAGATCGTAACGAATCACGGTATGCCAGTGCGGTGGTCCACGGCACACTACCGCTTTTCTCGCGCCCCGTGTACCGCCACTCTGTACCGTCGTCCGTCTCTTGCTCGCTCGTTCACCTCGTTTTGTCTCTGTTCTTCGTAGTCGACTTCACTCGCACTCTCTCCGAAGTTTCCTTCCCTGTCCCACCAACCACCGTTTCTCCCATGCACTCTCTCTCACTCTCTGTCACGGTCACTCCTTCCCATTCGTGCGGTTGTCGCTTCTCACTCGCGCGTACTCTTCCTCCAGAGTACTACGTCCTAACGGAGAGATCGCAGTGCCGTATCCCTCTTCGTCCCTCATATACCATCCCCCTCCTGGTACGATAACCGAGCTCTCTCACTCTACCTACCGTCGTTGTTGTCCCCCTCTTCCACCCCCAACGTTCTCCCCACAATTGCTCTCTCACCCTCTGATTCTGTCTCGCTCCACCTCTCGACGATATTCGTCCTCTCCCTTCCCATTCGATCTCTCGTCTCCCTCTTTCTCACAATACGATTCCTCAGTGCCCCCTATCGAGCGTTCCAGTAACTCAACGACGTACCGCCAGATTAAATTCGTACTCGCTCGCCGTGCGCGTCACATTTGAGACGCGCGACAGATAAGACGGCGCGAGGTAGAAAGAGAAAAGAACTTCTCGTCGCGGCACGAAAGAAAGGGAAGAAATGAAATAGGAAATAGAGAGGGATGAAAGCACGTAAAGACATGAGCAGAAACGGATAAGAAGGAGGGGAAGAGGGAGATAAAGAGGAAAAGAAAGAACGTTATGCGCAATTGCAACAGCTAAGAGCGAGACGAAACGGAGCGAGTGCTGTTGCGATAGTGACGAGGAGGGAGAACGTGCCGCTAAGGGAGGAGGTTATACTTAAGGACCAATCAGAATTGAATTCGTCACGAATACCGCGCTGGTGTGGCATGAAAGTTCCTACGCCGTGTGAAAGTAGTTCCAAGTCGGAACGACGCCCATGAGCGGCTAGGCACCGCCCCGCGGATCCCCACTACCGAAACGTGCGAGGTACCGGCGGATACAGCCACGCTGTGTCCGCACCGTACTGGAGCCAGAGAAAGAAAGAGGGATGGAGAACCGCGCGGCACGCGCGTCTCCCAGTGTTTCTGCCTTCTCTTTCTCGCCTCTGCGCTCGTTCGTGGGGATACGTGTACCGCCACCTTTGAGTCTTGTAGCGAACTAATCTCGCCAGATCCATTCAGACATTCAAACGACCAACATCAACGAGCTATCTCGCGATTATCGTTATTGCGGTAGCAACGTTGTAAATTCATCCGTGACATAGAATAGCCTGATCGACAAGTCGTACACTAAACGAGATGGTAAACAGGTTTAGGAATGAAAACCATTATGAAACACCTTGATCATTTAAGATCGCATTAGATCGAACCGGTTCGATATCGAGGATACTTGATGATGCGAGGGTAAATATAACGATAAGAATGTTACGATAAACGTCTTTTATGAGTTGTACCGTTGTTTTACAGATCAATTAAATGATGATTGCACAATTAAAATGTCGTAAAAGTGAGCTCCGTAAGACCAGTAGTCAAGCAAGAAACTTCTACGGCGCGCGCCACGCTAGTATCGGGAGTGTTTATTGGGATGTAAATGTCGCTGGATTATCGTCCCCGCGGTTCGCACCTCGTAAATTATTCCGTAACGAGCCGAGTAATGCCCATCATAAGCTGCTCGCCAGAGCTGACCCTAGTTATTTGCTTACGCGCTCTTGCTATTATGAATGCTTAGAGTATTAACCACCTGCTTTACTCTCAAAAATACGCAAGAGTAAAAGATATCCAATTTTGAATATTGAATATATTTAGGTCGATGTAAATGCAAAATGCGGTTATTATTCCAAGTAAACGAAATTACTTCTATAACATGATTAAACAATCTGCTAAACAAACTGTATCAACTGTATAAAAGCTAGTTATCCTATTTTTTATTTTTAAATAATATAAATAAAATAAATATAATATAAAAAAGAATGTAATATGTAACGTTAGAGTTATATTGCTATTAGGTGGCTGTATCTTCAATATATATACGCATCATCGATTGCTACGTTTAAAAAAGCTTATGAATTATATAAAAGTTCATTAAGCTTTTAATTTGATGGTGCCATTGATGAAGATTCAATGCAGTTTTCGCTTTTGCGAGACTCCGACAGGTGGCAGCCCGTTTGCTTGAAAATCATGACGGCAATAAACTTCGGTTTTATGACCACTTGAACAGAATCGTAAAAGTCAGGGCCTTTAAGCTTATAGCGTAGAAGGGCGCGTGTCGAATATGGTGGGGGCGTGAGGAAAGTTCACCATGTGAATGGGGAAGGTGTAACGACCCATATAAACACCCAAAAATGGGCCTAAATGCCTTTTTTAAAACAGTATTTACAGCGACTAGTTTGAAAGATACCACAAAGACCCTTTGTGGTATTAATTATCTTAATGATTTAAATTTGAAGAATATGCCGATAAAAGTCAATTCAAATATTTACTACCTATGTGTTGTTATGCGTCAAAGAATTCTATCCTTATAACGTATTCTATATAGTTTTAAATTACAAGCTACCCAGGTAGCAAGCTAATGTTATCAGCTTGTTGAGTGTATAAATTGAGTAGCTCATGTTTATTATCTATATTCTAATATTTCATTAAAAAATAAAAGTAAATACTACCAATAGAGACGTAAATATCATCGTTAACTATTGACACAAAAATCCGTATGATGGACATTTTATAGATTTTCAATAAAAATCAAAGCAATGAAACCAGAATTTCGAAGGAGAAATTAAGAGACACAGAACTACATGAGAAGACGAACATGAAAACGAAGGGGCCATTGCACCCGCCAGGCAAATCTGTGCTCTTGCTAAACCAGCATTCATTCCTCATCGCTCTGGTGGCTTTGGCTCCTCCGCTTTCCTCCAAGCAGTGGTTCAATGCACTACTTGGCTGCTCATTCTGGCTGAAGCTTCCTTCTTTCTCTCTATACTCTCTATTAACATTGCTCTTCGTTTTGCACATTCCTACTCAATTATATTTTCGTTTCTTTCTTCTTTTTCAATTCAATAATATTTGATTAACAAACATTAACATTTTAAGATTATTACTACCGATCTTTTTCACTTGAATGAGAGATTATGAAAATCAAAATGCGAAAAGTGATAGCAAAAGAAAATGATAACTAGATAATACTTTAGAATAGTATATTACGTTTTACCAAATTTTTTAACTGAAATATTAAATATAGCATATTATTTGAAGATAATTATATTATTTGAAGATAATGAAAAATAAAACTTCTTTAATTATAGTATAAATATAATAGTATTAATATAAAATAAAATCTTAATAATATACAACTTATTATAACAGTATATAATAATTTAATTTTAATTTTTACTAAAATAATATTCTAATTTTAAATAAATTGGCATATTTTTATAACAATAGTTTTTTAGCTAGACAATATCATTCATGTTTAATCAATCGTCGAAAGTTTTAAAAAATCTTATTGATTCGCGCACGGCATATTGATCGGCAGCACATCAGGAGCAAAGATAGAATCGCATAGCAAGGATTCGGAAGATGCTTCCTTTGCCATCTGGCGGTCTTTTGTGTCATCACCTGATTGCAAAAGTTGCATCAAATTTTCTGCAGTTTTCACAGTCGATAGGAATTTTACTAATTACCAATATATATAAATACATAAAATAATATTGTACAATCTTTGTTTCAAAAATTCCAAATCCAAACTATTGCTCACTATTACTATTCGATATAAACAAGACAGTTGTCGCTATTAATTTTTGAGAGATGCATAGTCATTTACAAATACAAGATAAGATAAAATATTTATACACTTATTTTATATGTATAATGTGGACTAATAATTAAAACAAAAACATCGACATTTGCGAGTATGGTAATGATCAAAAGTCGTATGAAAACGAGTTTCTTGCAAGACAATAAAAGTAGTTGGAAAATTATCGAGAGTAAAACGAGTTTGTAATAAGAAAAAAGGGACGTACGAGGACAGCTATTATAAACCAACAGTAACTAATGACCAATTTATTTAATACGTTTCAAGACTTGTTAGGCTTAAGAGTGATCTGCTTTATCGGTTGAGAAATCCTCCCGCAAGTGGGATAAAACTTATTAAAGGATAACCGTTAGTAGAAACGATCGCTTAATGTTAGAATATGTGATTTGTTTACAGTTAAAATTAAATATAATTAAGTAATATCAAGTAAAATTTCGAAATTGCTATTGAATGCTTGCGTTGCGTTTTTGATGGTGCAATTAAGCCATCAAAAACGAAGCTTGTTATCAGAATATTTGGTAGTTATTGACCGAAGAAAAAAATAAATTGGATAATATAATTGGATATTGTGTGTGTTAAATATTTCACAATTTATAGAGATATTGATAAACTTTACAAAAAAAACTTTGCTTTAAAAAAATTAAATGGAATTTAATAGTCTATAATTGTATTTCATATTAGAATCTGAATTAAAATACTTTGATTTCATGATTTCTAGATATTCTATCATAAATTTTTTGAAATATTTTAAAATGTAAACTTATTTCTATGTATATGTACATATATGTGTACACATCTATATGTACATATATATACATAAGTATGTATAAACACACACACACTTTTTTTAGAAAAACTTATATTTAAAAATTCGCAAAATATATATAATAATAAAATGAATAATGTAAATTATATTAATTTGCTATGTGTAAAAACAAGTAAGTCGCAATACGTTTAAATTGAAACATAAAACGAAATGAATGAGGCTATAAATACTTAGAGCTAATGGTAGGGTGCGGGTAAGCTATTACTAGGGGACCATTAATTATACTAACATTGTAAGAAAACACGCATTATATCCTTGTAAAAAGTGACATTCATTCATTATAAAATACTTTAGAAAAATTATTTTTAATTATAACACGATTGGTAGATCAAATAAAAATTTTGTCATATTCATTTTTCTTTTTCTACAATAATTTATAAAAACTAACTTATAATATTGCACTAATAAAATCAATATTAATATCTTACCTTGCCATGTTGAAAGTGAAAGAATGGCGGCGGCGTTCTCTATTTCTCTGGAAATCAGCAAGTTGGACATCTCCAATCTGAAAAA